CAGATTGTCTGGAACCTTAACAGAGTACAAATGCTTTTCTGCCTTTGGGGGTTTGTTTTCTTTATAGAAACCTCAGTAACATAGTAGCTATGGTTACCTTTCCGTAGTTTGTAACTAACATTTAAAATTCTACCCATAAACGGAGGGAGAAAACATGTCAAATTGCAAAAGCTGTATCCTGCTTCCCCTTCCAGACCGAATCTAAACGAGCATGTTGCATTATGCTACAGAGTCTGCCCTCCCCCACTCTGGGCCATGGGGAAGTTCCATAGGCCACCATTTCTCAAATGCGGCCACCATTTCTCAAATGCGGCCACCATTTCTCAAATGCGGCCACCAGTGGGTTTCCCTGCGGCCATGGCAGTTTCTGGGCAGTGGGGAGGGGGAGCATCAGCCCCTCCCTTTGCTCACTGTTGCTTCTGCATGTGCGGCCTCTCTGGAGACACAGGTGGGACACAGAGGTGAGGAGGCGAGAGGCGAGGTGGGCAGGGGGGTGAGGAGGTGAGCGGTGGGTGGGAGTCTGGCGGGGGAGTAAGGAGGCAAGTGGTGAGCCAGCAGTAGGGTGAGGAGGCGGGCGGACGTGGGGGCGAGTCTGGCCGCAAGCAGTGGCGGGTGTGAGGAGGCGAGCAGTAAGGCAAGTGCTGGTGGGGGAGCTGGTAGGGGAGTAAGAAGGCAAGCTGCGAGCCAGCAGGCCAGGGGGGCGGGTCCAGCTCCAAGCTGGGGAGTGAGGAGGTGAACGATGAGCCACCAGCAAGCGGGGGGTTCTCACGGCTGGCAGGGGGGAGTCTGTGGCAGGGGAGTGAGGAGGTAAGCAGCGGGTGGGGGGGTATGAGGAGGCGAGCGGCGGGTTGGCATCTGAGGAGGGACCCAGGAGGCGAGCGGCGGGTGGGCATCTGAGGAGGGACAGGACACAGGAGGCGAGCGACGGGTGGGGGTCTGAGGAGGGATGCAGGAGGCGAGCAGTGCATGGGGGACTGAGGAGGGATGCAGGAAGCGAGCGGCGGGTGGGGGGGTGAGGAGGCAAGCGGTGGCACATGGGCAGTGGATTGAGCCTCCCTTTGAGGAGGTTAGCTCCCGACTCCACCCCTTCCACCTGCAGCCGGAGCCCCGAGACCCTCTGCCCAGCCCTGTGGCTGGAACCACAAGCCCCCGGCCTGGAAAAGCCCTGAGTGCCCCCCCCCACCCTCCTGGCTGGAGGAGCCCCGGGCTGGCCAAAGCCCCGAGATGGCCCCTCCCCACCCACACACATACACCTGCCTGGAGGAGCCCTGGGCTGGCTGAAGCCTGGAGTGAATCCCCTTCTCTCCCCCCGGGCCGGCCGAAGCACTGAGCACGTCCACCTTCCCAGAGGAGCCCTGGGCCAGCTGCAGCTGTGCCCCCGCTCCCCAGACCCAAGCCTCCCAGATTCGTTGTTATTTGGACTTCTATTATGTCAAAGCATTTTTAAATTTACTTCAGAATTGTTGTACAGACAACCACTTTTACCAAAAAAGCAAAAGAAACAATAATAAAAAAGACAAGAACGTGCAAAGCACCTTATTTGTGTTCTATTCTTAGGTCCAGTAAAGAACAGATAACTGCAATATTTTTATTATGGAGTCTACAAAAAAAATCCCCAAACCTTACATAAATAAATTACAATGATTTGGATGTATATATGTGCATATTACTTTATTAACTTTAGGAAAAATAAATAATTTTAGGAAAAAGTGTCAGTATGGCCACGAGCAAGAGTTGGTGGCCACACTCTGAGGCCACCAAAAAATTTGTTGCGAGAACCCCTGCCATAGACTACTGTCTTCTGTGACCCTACAAAGCAGGTTTCCATACTTGGCTGGGTCACATTGCGTTCCCTCAGTCAGGGGATTCATATTTTGGGGTAAATTGAATAACTGCATAATCATATAACCACAAAACCCATGTCCTTCCTTGCCCCTACCCTTTCTGAGTATGCAATAGACTCATTTCACTGTCAATCCATCGGTTAGTCTGCATGGTCTTTGGGTCAGAGACCCATCTCCTAGGCATCTTTTGTGAAGTGCCTAACATGCTTTTGGGTGCTATAAAAAAAAAATAACCTGCCACAGGGCACAATAACCTCCTCTCTATAGGAACCCTCCAGTGCCTATACTGATGGATGTTAATTATGTAAGTATTCCAAGGAGAGAGAACTAGGAGCAATAGGATGTAATTAAGACAAAGATAATTTAGGAGGAACCTCAGGAAACATTTCTGGACAAGATTTTTCATACTGTGGAATAGTATCCCAGAGGAAGTAGTGGAAGCCTCAGTACTTAGAATGTTTAAACTCAGACTGGACAAAGCAATCATGGATATACTGAAGCTTTGCACTGATCCTGGGGTGAATGGACTAGATGCTGTCTATGGCACATTTGTTAGTGACTGAATGGATCCTGAGTATGGATTATTGCCCAGTTACCAACATTGATGGTGGTATAGCCCACCTATTTAATGTGTGTTTTTTTTGTTTTTTTTTTTCTTGAAAAGTGTCTGTAAAAATGACCCCTTCTTCCTGAACAGATCTGCTACCTCTCTTTATTCAGAGAGGTGTGCAGACTTTACTGACAACTGTTAATATAATGAGGCTGCACAGGTATCAAGGGCAGAATGTGACTTGCAGAATCTTTATTACCGATGGTGATATGTGAACCAGAGAGAGCTGAGCTTGCCTTTCAGATCAAAGGCTGAGTTTGCCAGGTGAGCAGTTAGAACAACCATCTTTTTACTTGTCTTGAACCAACTTCTGTTGGTGAAAGAAACAAGTTATTGAGCTACACAGAGCTCTTCCTTCCGTCTGGGAAAGGTACTCAGGGCTTCTACACACTAGCACTTACTTTGGTATAACTTAAGTCCCCCAGGGGTGTGGAAAAGCCACTTGCAGAGCGATAGAAGGTACACCAAACTAAGTGCTGATGTTCAAGCTCTCCTGCAGACATAGCTACTGCTGCTCTGGAAGGTGTAATTATCTCAACGGGAGAGACTGTCTGCATCAGCAGTGCTCCAATGGCACAGCTACATCCTACAGCTGCGTCACTGTAGCAATTCTAGTGTACACTAGGATGGCAGCTAAATACGAGGTTGAGCAGATAGTTCAGTATAAGTCATTGGCGCATATTCGAAGGCACCATTCAAGATGAAGTGGCCCGTTAACAGCTCTGTAGTCAAAAGACAAAAAGGGGGGTGAGTTGGTTTATTACGACCATGATTTTTAATGTCTAGCAAAGTTGTGAATTTAAGCATCCAGGCAAGCTGGCCTATGTCATAAATGGTTACATACACCAAAAATCACAGCAATAGTCATGTTACTCCCAGCCACTTAGTGCCAGTCATTTACCCAGGTCAGTTGAATCTCAGATCTCAAACCAAAGACCGTGCCTGTAGCTAAATAGAAACTTCTATCATAAGCAAACTCTATATGCCCTTTGGGGCTAACCCAGGCAAAACAACTGGGGGTCTTTTGCTTATGCTTAGAGATTCTTGCCCCTTTAGAGTCCAAGCAGCAAAAAGAACCTGCGCAACACTTCCAAAAGACAAGCCTGGGAGCTTAATGTCATAACTTGGCTAAACACTAAAAATCATGGTCCTAATAAAGATACTGGATTTATGCAAAAAAGAACAGGAGTACTTGTGGCACCTTATAGACTAACAAATTTATTAGAGCATAAGCTTTCATGGACTACAGCCCACTTCTTCGGATGTACTCCTGTTCTTTTTGCAGATACAGACTAACACAGCTGCTACTCTGAAACTGGATTTATGGTTATTACAACAATCTGTAACCTCCCTTTTTGTCCTATGATTATAGGGGTGTTAATGGGCCACTTAGCCTTGAATGGTCCCTTACAATATATGCTAACTAGTTATGCTAAACTATGACCTTGTATTTAGCTGTGACAGTACCTTTTCCAGACCTAAGGAAGAGCTCTGTGTCGCTCAAAAGCGTGTCTCTCTCACCAACAGAAGTTGGTCCAATAAAAGATATTATCTTACCCACTGTCTCTCTAATGTCCTGGGATCAACATGGCTACAACACTGCTTATCTTTTTTACTTGTAAACTGGGCAAACTGTTTCTGGGATTACTGAGAGATGATAAACATGTAGGCTGCAAAGTATTTTTATAGTCATTTTTCAGAGTTTAGCCATTCTTTGAAGCAGGCGGCATGTGTCACAAGCCAAACAGTAAACCAGGGGTCCCCAACGCAGTGCCCATGGGTGCCATGGCACCTGCCGGGGCGTCTAAGTGCGCCCATGTAGTGGCTGGCAGGCGAGCATCCGTCGACAAGCAGCGTCATCCAGAGGCGTCGCTGCCGAAATGCTGAATCAGCGGCATTTCGGCGGCCACACCTCTGGATGCTGCTGCTTGTCGGCGGCATTTCGGCAGTGCTGCCTATTGACGTTGCCGCTTGTCGGCGGCATTTCGGCAGATGCTCATCTGCCGACACAGTCCTCCATGGCTCAGACGAAAAAGGTTGGGGATCACTGCAGTAAACCAACTCTTCCTCTCTGCAGGAGCTCCAAGTGTGTGAAGGTGAGGGGCCCAGGGCACAGAAGGGGTGGGGTGAAGAGCCCAGATTTGTACCGTTGTGATTGGAATTTGTGGATGCAGCAAAGCTTGCAAAAATTAATTATAAATCAACTTTTTTTCCCCCTCCTTTCCCAGCTGTATTTTCCATTTTTCTTGTGTTTGGATCTAGGTGGTGAAATGTAGCAGATGGAAGTGAGGGAGGGCAAAGCTATCTCCTTTTAAGAGTAGATCTTCCTCTCATATACAGTCTGGCCAGAGCCAAGGGAGTCTGAGTGTTAGATTACTTCAAAGACTGATGAATAATTGCTTTCTGTTTATGTCCAAGACACTATTTTTCTTTGAAAAGTGCCAGCACAGCCAGACATATATCTGCCTCTGCTTACGTCCCAAAAGGGGAAGGCACAAGGTATTCTCTTGGCAGCTTTTGCGTCCTATTACCAAACACTTTGTGGCACTCTCTTAGTGGAAGCCTGGGACTGAAGCAGGTTGCAATCATGAGTTAATTTCTGCCTTAATGAAAAATCACAGGGTGACCTGCTTCTAAGTTCCTTCTGAGTCATACAGAGTTAAACTAACCCCTCCCACAGCCATGGACCGTTAAATAGCTCTGTTTCACATGCACCTCTCGCTAAGCAGCTCAGAGCCAGCAGAGGCTGAGAAAGGAGGGGAGAGAACACTGGCACTGATGGACGAGCCAAAGGGTAAGAACAAAAATGAGTTGCTCTGAACTTAAAAGCAAAATCCGCCTCTAAAGAGGAGGTGGGGGAGAGGGACTTTGGGGCGCTTTTCAAATGGCTCTGACCTGCTGTGACGTCAGCCTCACCACAAACAAAAGTTTGACAAGTTAATGAATATTCATGAGAAGTTTATACTCATTGAGATTTGTCATTCAGGAGTGAACTAATTTTGAGATCCTCCTGCAGCCAAATGCATCTCAGAGCAGCACAGACTACACAATCACATTCATTTCTCATTACAGAACTCAATGCATATGTTCTGAGACGATGAATTCATCGTCAAATAGATTTATTTTGGTCTATGCTGCTTGCAGTCTTCTGCATTCCTTCCCTATTGTGAAATTAGCACACCATTCTCATCTTGGAGTTCAGTTTCTCAGACAGTGTAGAGGAGCACTGACAAGTGATTCTGAGCCTGTGTGTGTGTATGTAGGTTTGGGTTGATGGGGGAGGGGAAGAAGGATTTGCAGTGTCTGTAAAGAAAAAAGAGGAGGCAAGATGTTTATAACCTTTGGCCCTGGGGCTGTGTTATGTGAATGTCAGCCCAGAGGGTTGCCAGTTGTTGTTTCACTGCAGTTTGGAGACAGCAGGTATGTGTGAAATTAGCCACTGGGGGCTCATGTCATGAAGAGAGTGGGTGTCCCCTGTGTGACTGCAAAATGAGAACAACCTTGGAGGGTGTGTTTCTTGCAGAGGGTGCTTCTGGTGGTAGAAGTCTTGCCATGAGACCTCTCAACACAGGGCAGGGAATATTCGGGCAAAAAAGGGCAAACACTTGGAAGAGCATAAAGGTGTGAGGGTGCCCTGCTAGGGGGTAAGGGCATGACTGGGTATGAAGGTGCTGCTGCAGCAGGACACAAGGAGTTCTCAAAGCCTGGGGACTCTTGATATGCAGCTGGGAGGAATCTCACAGCAATATTCTAGGGCAGAGAGTCTTATGGGGGCACGTGAGGAGAGAATGATTCTTAGCTCATGTTTGTTGGTGGCGGGGTTGTTTGACAGCAGGGTGGTTCCTGCTAGAGCTAACAGTTGCTCTCCATTCTGGTGCTGGCATCTCAGATTTATCGTCCTGGTGACATGAGTAGGTACGAACATGACACCTGTAGCACATTGGCATGAGGTTTCATGTCGTCAATATACACACCCTGGAGCTGAAATTTAGCCCAAACATTGACATCAGCATGGCAACCTTTTTTCACAGAGCAGCCTGCAGCAGAATTAAATCTTCACCTTTTCTCAATACATGATGAGGCTTCTAGATGGCATTGTCATGGAGCCTTCCTTTTATAATCAGCTGGAATATTACACATAGCAGAAAGCATATCACCTATCATCTGTTATGTTCAACATCTGGCAGAAACATTTCCTACTTTAGAATCTGCTTTTTCTGTCTGGCCATTTTACACTCTGTACCGTAACTTGCACTTTACAGTCTGCTCTGATCTATAATTTCAGCCTGATGTGAAGATATGTAGCAAGAATCCAGGCAAGTAGGAGGCTGGGCAAGGTTCTAGGCAGAAACTTTGCAATGAAACAGGGAGAGAAACTTTAGGGATAATCAAAAAGAACAGGAGTACTTGTGGCACCTTAGAGACTAACACATTTATTAGAGCATAAGCTTTCGTGGGCTACAACCCACTTCTTCGGATGTAG